AATGAAGATACCTGTTCAGCGCGGTCTCCATTAGCACAGCAAACATGTTGAAACTCTGTCGAGTTTACATTGGAGCTTGTAGACCCGATTAAAAAAACAAACACCGTGAGTGCCCAAAAATCTGGTTGCTGCGTTCGTTTATAACGATGTGCTAAATATTCGAAATTCGATAGCGTTTGGCTCATTTTTCTTTGGAAGAGGAATGTTTATTTAATAACTACGTCTGTCTGTCCGTCCGTCATAACAAGCGACTTGTTCTATCTGTAGTGGCTGCGTAGCGTACACACTCTTCTGTATTTGAAAGTGTCTTAATTCCATCGCGCGTCGTCGGAGTCCTCCGAAGGTTTTTGCGCGAGACTCCAGCACTTGTGTCCTCCGTCGCTACGTGAAGTTTGTAATTCGGATGCTTCATCTGACTGTCAAGGAGGACGGAGCGCACGCGGAGGAACGTATTTCGCAGACGTCTCAGTCGGAGAATTCTGAGGAAAGAAACTGTTTCGGGGATCTGGGCTTAGGTGGGAGCCTACGTAATTTGTAGGTGGACATTCTTTCCAGACGCGCGCCGTGCCGTCGTGCTCCCCTTGCTCGAATTGTGATCCCAAGATTAGGTCACGGCTGTAAGGGTAGCATGAATTGAAGGGCGTGGCAGTCGACGTCAGAGTCGTTACAAAAGGCTGTAGATCGTGTTCCTGGACAGTAAGCTAGCACCCTAAGAAATTATTCCCATTTGCAATGAGGGCTGTTTTACGGCTGGTTAACTGTCTCGTCCTTTAGAAGAAAGCCTTTCTCTGGTGCGTCTCTTACACTCGCTAAGAGGTGTGACTATGGAAGAAAATATCGTAATTGTCCCTTTATCAGGTGGCCGCACTAGGATCCAGAGGCAGGCTTTTGTGGAAGCGACCTTAAACTTCGTGCTCAGTTTGTTAATCAGCTGAATCGCTATCAAATGGCGACGGAAGGGCGTTAATCACTATTTCGTTGTGCCTTTTACCTTCGGATTGAACCGGCTAGATAGTGCCAGAAGACAGGTTTCGTAATGATCGTGTTATTTGGGTTTCCATACCAGACCAATTGCATGGAGCAGAGTCCTTGAGGATATAATAAGTCGCGGAGATGTAAAAAGAAAATCATTTGTTATGGAGTCGTTAAATTCGTTGGCGTGTTCAGAATACGTCGCTGTTGGTCTGGTTCACGCCCACTCTACTCTGTTTCTGTGAGACTCATTTTAATGTTATCGTCCTAACTGCGCATGTTTTTCCAGGTGGTCTTTTCCCCACCAAGTTTTTCCGACCAAACACTCTCGCGCTTTTCACGTCTTTTCCTTGCGTGCTACATGTTTCCTTGATTTGATCGGCTTTTAGGAGAACGGAGATGCTGGAGATTTGTTGTGTCTTTTACCGACAGGTTGCTGTAGCTCAGGGTAGTGCCTAGTCTGATGATGATTATGAGGGTCCGTAAGAACGGGGAATTTCTTGTTCACATGAATAGTTGCCTGCTGATGATGGAAGACACTGTGAATGGCCTTTAAAGCCCAGTGGTAAGTATATGTACCACCTGCTTTGACAGTAAACAACTCTGCATTTTGCATTTATTAATTTCGTGGGATTCTCTCAGTGTAAACAGCTATTATTTTATAAAGCATAATGAACCAGATAATTTTGTGACGGAGACGCTTGGTTTTCTCTGCGGTGCGGACTGAATTATTAAATATTATTTAGACGATGCATACGGTTAGGGAGATGACCCATTGATAGGTAGTCACATTTCATCCGCCATTGGATTCAGCTGCATTGCAATTGTGAGCGAAGGTGCGTTCGTCACTTAATCATGTAACTTCGCAGACAGATTGTATGCTGTATGTGTTCAGAGGTTCTAATAAGCTGCAAGTTAGAAATCAGAGCCGATCAATTCTAACTTGATGGACAAGGCACCAGTTTTCGTTTGCAGGTGACTAGGGGAGGGAGAGACGTCGATTTAATTAATTACATAATCCTTTGGAGCGCGGTGAAATATAAGCCGATTTGTTTTACTCGCAAATATTAATAGCCCCGTTCGCTGGACATTTCCTGCCCTCCGTAATACTCTGATCGCTGTCTTGGCGGTGGCCAGGACCAAATCAGCTCTCATGACCGTCTCACTTCAATTAATTTGAGAGCCTTGCAAAGGCAGCAAGGAGCAGACGAGATTTTTATTAAGCCTTCCCCCCCCCCTCCTCCCCATCCCAATCTCTTTCAGTTAATTGCCAAAATGCTTCCTCACGCCGAACGTCGGTGTTCGGTACCTAGTAGTCCTCCTTTTCTCGGGTCCTGGTTTCGAATTTTGGCCCGGAGATCGACATCATATTTTCGTTTCTTAAATGAGTGAGTGAAAGGTGCTTTAAAAAGGCCTGACACCAGTCAGCAATTTACAGTTATCCTCCGCTTACTTTCAGTTACCAGTTCACAGTTATCCTACGTTTTGACTAGAGTAGCGTTAATCTCCATCTTGTCAGACAACCTCTGTATGTTTTACGTTGTCGTTAAGTAGACTAAATTCTGCGACGTTCATGAAGCCTAATTTGCCTGTCACCTCGTCCATTTCCGTAGCTTCTAGAATTACCGAGTCGAGTGTTTGAAGAAAAGACTTGCAGAGGTTCGAGCTGACGACGTTTCGGTGTAGTGGTTTGGACTCGTGCCTGGCATGAGGAAGGTACCGAGTTTTTATCTCGGGATGGAACGGGCTGTTCTGACATCCGCGGTCATGCCGAGCCCCTCTGGGCAGAGTATTGGATCTGTACCTTAACACAGGCCACGACCTCTTCATTTTACATCTTTCCCAATTCATGGTTAAAATTGCACGTGTATTCAGCGCTGTGTCATGAATGCGGCTCGCAAACTTTCGGTAAATGAACGAAAACGCAGTTCCCTTATGAAATTAGTGTTAGAGGCTCGTAACCGACCAGTCCCAACCTGTAACACGCCTTCAACATCTCCGGAAGAAAACACAAGAAATCTTTCTGGACACACTTCAGGTTTTTATTCCCAGTAAAAACCGATGGTGTATATAACTTCATGACTCCAGGGCCCTGAAGATGGCTTAGAATTTGCGAGTGAGTGTGCCGTAATGGCAGTCTTCCCGTTCGCATTTGCAAGTTTGTGTCATTAGAAGGGGAAACAGAGTGAGGGTAATGCGTCGTTAGAGTTCTGCCCGCCCCATTTGCTGTCCGACTGATAAAGTTATCCTCACGACTGGATCATCGTCATCCCACAACAATATCCTCGACCGTCTTTTCTAATAGTTCTCGGGACTGGCGGCCCTTTCGCGTGGGAGGCGCATTCAACTTGTTAGCAGAGTGCGAGAAGCACTCCGGGGATCTGCGTGTTCGGAGCAAGACAAGGGCCTCGTGGCGCCACCCGTCTTTCTTGGCGTCTATCCTTCCTTCATTTGCCTTTTCGCCCTTTTCTTGCTTCCTTCTTTCTTTCAGATGTTCTTATACATTACGTTTTACTGTGTTAAACGTGGGAAAGGACATTTGATTTTACTACGTTCTATCTGTTTCGTCGGGCACTACACAGGGTTAAGTGGTTTGACCAAACACGACCTGGAAAACATCTTTTCGGATGTTCTCTTCTGTTCAAGGTTTTTTTCCCCCTTCGTCCTCCCCGCCTGAACGTTCTATTCAGTTGTTGTGCACAAATTGAAGTCATGTTAACCTCCTCCGTTCAACATTTGATGCCCCTCCTGCACGCAGTAGTTAATCGGTTACTATGACGTTGGTGGAAATGGTGTCTCGTTTTAAAATACGAGGTTCCCACCGTCGTGACCATGTAAGGTTTCGTGAATAACACCCGTTCTTTAAAAGGTTCTTCGTGAGAGAGATGTGGAGACGTGCATCGACGTTGCATCGTAAGAATTTTTAACACGTTCTTCAGGGTCCGTTGGATAGTGTCCTCGGTCCAAGTGTTTAGACTACCTGCATGACGCTCCCGCGGAAGTAGTTGCGTCACTGGCAAGGCATTCTTATAGTCACATTCTCAGATTTGCAGGTACCAGATACTTCTGTGAATATAAGACAGACAAGCTGCTAACAGAAAGATCTTGCACCGTAATAAGTTAATGGCACTGATTACCAGTTTGTGTTTCGCAAATGCTTTTGAAGGTTCCCAAACCGTTTGTAATGTCGGCCTTTTTCTGTCGATTTATTGAAGGAGAGTCAGCATTGTTTCTGGATTTCTGGAAATGATGGAACTCTCGTTGTTCGTAAGTTAAAATTACTGCCAAAGTAACCAATTTTTAAACATCCTGTACATTTTTTTTTCCATTTAATGTGCCCTTTAATGTATGTAAATTTTCTTCGTAAAATAAAATTAACTTTTTAGTTGGCGGCAAAACTGACGTTTTGCTCCCAGCAAGCAAAAGCCTGGGTTCGGAATTCTAAGTCAGCAGTTGCCTCGTTTTATTTTCAAGTGCACACACACTTATGAGAATATGACAGGTAAGGAAAGTTCACCGTGAGAATTAAACGTTTTATTTCGCTTGGTATTACCAAAATGATCTAATTAAGGATGGGTTCAATCTGCATCTCGGCCGGAGAAACAGAGCTTAAGGCACTTTCGACGTTTTTCCGACATTTTGAATTCAAACCAGCCGCCATAACGCATCGTTAAGCGTAGAAAAGGTTAGTTTTAAACAGCTGGAAAGCACCGCTCTCTTTCCCCTCCGGTTGTAGGGGGCGCTGTCCACTTTTCTTCACTTGTGATTCATTTGTTAAGATTCCGGCATTTAGAAAGCTATCCAGAACCTTGCCCGGAGGAATTCTAGGGGATTGCAGACAGCTTCATTTTTGAAGTCTCCGTACTTGCTCGTAGATAAATCCTGCATCCTGCTGTCTTTCGTCGCGTGCAAAAATGAATCAAGGACAAGTTGTTTTCTGCTATTGATGCGTAAAGACGTGATCATTTTAGTTTACCGTTGATGCAAAAGCCGGTTTAATTATGTTATGCGTGTTTTTGTTTTTCTAGGGATGGAAGCTATCATGTCTGAGTTTTTCAACGACACGACCACCGCCTTCTACATAATACTGATCGTGTGGATAGCTGACCAGTACGACGCTGTCTGCTGCCACACTGCTATTACCAAAAGGCACTGGCTGAGGTGAGTACCACTGTTAAGCGCCTCTCGGTGTAAACCGTGCATTTGGTACGCTGAGCTGTGTGGCGGGCGGACCGTGTGGACGAAGAATGTATAATCGATTTTGTAGTCGGTTATAATGAAATATAAGTCGAGAGACCTTCAGCGCCGCGTGGAACGACAATTTCCCTTCCTATTTCAGAGTTGTATCAGTTCACTTGACGAGAATCTCGAGGAAGCAGCTTTTGAGGATTTTGACTGGAATCAGTTGGCTCGGGATAGGTAACAGGTTATTGCTTTTGTGAACACGATAATGAACCTTCGGGTTCTGTGGTATTTGTACCGGGCGGGCTGCTGTTAGTTTCCGAGGAAAGACCGGGCTGGCTTAATTAGTAAACTGCGTTATGTTTCGGACAAATGTGAACCAGAATTAGTCTCATCCGATCTCACTCCATACAGATGTTTCGAGTTGTTTTGGACGTGAAACATGCGGACGGACAGGAATTCTCCTCCCAGGCTTTCATAATTCGCGTCCCATCAGTTCACGCTTGGCGATCATCCGCAACCGTGAGCCCTGTCACTCCTTTGAGTACGTGACTACTGTGAGGTAGTTCCGGCCGTACGGAAATTACAGCTAATTGCGTTATGGGGGGGGGTGTGCGTGCGAGGTAACAGGGAATGGCTGCTGTGAGCGCCGCTGCATCAGTGTTTTTGAGACGATATGTAAGCAGTGGCACCGCCGTTATAATCCCCTGAACACATTAGCACCGAGCCCGCCTCATCTCCGAATGGACCGTGAGTGACCCATTAACAAGGTAACGAGGACACTCGGTGCACCGCAGCGCATGCGCAGTCCTGACCGATTTCCTCCTTCTTTCTTTCATTATCCCCTTTATTTTCGTTTAATTATTTTGTTCTCTCTCGTTCATTCTCCCCCCCCCCTTCTCCGCGCAGTTAGTAAAGTTGAGAAGTGGGGTGTATTACCCGTCTGACCACCCAGACATCGTATGTCAGCTCAAAAATCTCGTTGATGGGTTTTGAATAAACTCGGGAAAGGCGTTCGTTCCACATCAACAACTCTAGATCGAATCTGATTTTGATTAAAACGCATTATGTTTTCTACGTATAGGCAAAATGGTTTTAAGGCTAAATGATTATACAGTCGTAAAGTTGATCATTTAATAGATCAGTGCATGCTAACCCGGCTGTGGACTTTCACTGTTATCAGATATCCCCGAACAGCTGTGCGTTCTCTATTAGAAATAGTTCAGGTGCACAACTGTTATGATAACACCCCTCCTCACCCCCCAACCAAATTTTCACATAGAGTGCGTGTCAGCTCTTTCTCAACGTGGTAACTTGTCTGGGGTGTGCATTTGACCGGTCACATGCATCTAGAGGTAGGTTTAAAACATGTGGAGCTGCATCTCTACGTCTCCCACCGCCACAGGCTTAATAAGTATAGCTAATGGTTTATTTTTCATCTAGGTTAAACAAAGTTCACCTGCAGTGGTTAATCTCGACGCATTGCGATAAACAAAAATTTAACCTTATTTTTATTTTGTTACGTGTAAATATTACGAGTGGAATTTTGTGCAATCACAGAATTTTCAAGAAGTGGGTAATACAATTTCTTGCATACTGGGATATAATCGCTGTACCGCGATGGCTCGGTCTGCAAACCCTCGTTTGTGGGAATTGAACGTGCCGGGTGAAGAAGGCATGGCACGAAAGACTAAGAAACGTTCCCCCTTTCTTACGCTGAGAGCTTAGAGCACGTACGTTTTGAAGTTCTCAGGGCATGCAGAAACGGTGGAATCCTCTCGTCGACTATCCGTTGTCAACACGGAGTAAACGTCGAGGCACGCAGAGTGAAGACGGAAAGATCCGATCTACAGAATGTGCGTGTATAATCACGGTGCAGTAAGAGAGTCTTCGAAACGTCGGATAGCTTTCCGAGAGATCTAATTGTAGTATTATTAGGTAACGACGATATTGCGACTCATACGCTGAATTTGTCAGTCGAAAAGGACGGGAATGGCATCTGTCTCAATACTTCATTCGATTTCTTGTCCGGATTTTAATTCTCGCGGTGCGTTGTTTTGGCTTGTCACATAGCTGCTGTCTTATTAATCAGTGTAGTTTTAATCGTTCGCCATCGCCAGCAGGCAACAATAATGCAAATGGTTCTGAAAATGAAGCGGTCACGTCCCATTAAGCTACCCAGAGGAAATTTGATCTCTCGCGCACGCTAATTGCAGCCCGTACGGTCAGCCAACCCACACAGATTAGCTGCCTCACGCAGGGTTAGACTGTGGGCCAGACCAGTTCATAACGGAGATTCAGAGACCCGGGGAACCCTAAAGCTGTTCAGTCCTCCTCTCTGTTTCTCTCTCTCTCTCTCTCTCCCCACCCCAAGAGCCCCGAGGCTGTATTATGCGGTTTCATCTGGTACATTTTATGTTATAAAATTTCCCTTGTGATATTTTGACGTGCTTCTAAATTTCTGACAGAAAAATTGCTCCAAAACTCAGAGTTGTAAAAGGCTAAACGTACG